AGGAAGAGAACCATGAAGAAGACGTGTCCCCCTCAGGGGCATGTGGCCGGCAGCACCGGGAAGCAGGGGCGAGGAGAGGGACAGAATACTAGTAATATTGATGGTGCAAACACCCATGTGGTGCTGCCTGCTCCAGGCTCTGTTCTCAGGGCTTTGCAGGCATCTGGTTCTGTGAGTGGGTCCTGGATTCCCCGACGTCACAGATGAGGAAACAGAGGCTCACTCACAGCCAGGGAGCAGGAGGCCTGGATGCCTCCAGAAGCTGTGCTTTGAACCCACCCCTGCTGCTGCTCTACCTGGAGCATGGGGGCGAGCCCGGGGAGCCATGATGGGGTGGAGGGGCCTCAGACTCAGAACCACGCTCCACCCTCTCCTGTTCCTTGTTCTGTCTCAGATACTCCTCACCACGCCTGCTATGGTCCGTCCGTCTGTCCTCACATGTCTGCCATGGTCTGTCTGTCCTCACCACGCCTGCCATAGTCTATCCTCACACGCCTGTCATGGTCTGTCTGTGTCTTCACCACAACTGCCATGGTCTGTCTGTCCTCACATGCCTGCCATGGTCTGTCTGTCCTCACATGCCTGCCATGGTCTGTCTGTCCTCACATGCCTGCCATGGTCTGTCTGTCCTCACATGCCTGCCATGGTCTGTCTGTCCTCACATGCCTGCCATGGTCTGTCTGTGTCCTCACATGCCTGCCATGGTCTGTCTGTCCTCACATGCCTGCCATGGTCTGTCTGTGTCCTCACATGCCTGCCATGGTCTGTCTGTCCTCACATGCCGCCATGGTCTGTCTGTGTCCTCACATGCCTGCCGTGGTCTGTCTGTGTCCTCACATGCCTGCCGTGGTCTGTCTGTGTCCTCACATGCCTGCCGTGGTCTGTCTGCCCTCACATGCCTGTCATGGTCTGTCTGTCCTCACATGCCTGCCATGGTCTGTCTGTGTCCTCACATGCCTGCCATGGTCTGTCTGTGTCCTCACATGCCTGCCATGGTCTGTCTGTGTCCTCACATGCCTGCCATGGTCTGTCTGTCCTCACATGCCTGCCATGCCTGCCATGGTCTGTCTGTCCTCACATGCCTGCCATGGTCTGTCTGTGTCCTCACATGCCTGCCATGGTCTGTCTGCCCTCACACGGCTGCCATGGTCTGTCTGTCTGTCCTCACATGGCTGCCATGGTCTGTCTGTCTGTCCTCACATGCCTGCCATGGTCTGTCTGTCTGTCCTCACATGCCATGGTCTGTCTGTCCTCACCACGCCTATCATGGTTCATCTGTCTGCCCACCCCTCCCCACCAGGCCGGTCTGCCCGCTCAGGGTCTGTCTTATCCTCCATGTCCCCAGATCTGGGTACAAGGCCTGTCCCTGAGGGTGTGCACTGGAATTAACAGGGGGACAGGTTGTGTCCGTGTGTGTCTTGGACGTGGGGGGTGGGGGGACCTGGCACTAGGAAGGGGGACAGAGGTGGGAATCTTCAGGCCGTGGTGCTGACTGGCTGTGGGTGAGGGGGCGGAGTCTGGAGAACTCGCTGGCAGGTCTGGGCACAGGCGACCCATGGGTGGTGGCCGTGCACACTGAGACAAGGGATGTGGACCGAGGATCAGGTAAGGGTCCCAGGGGGCAGTGGACACAGGGATCTGAGTCCAGCGAGCAGCTGGAGGGCCAGATTTGAGAGTCCCTGACTCAGCATGGTGGTGTAAGCCCCTGGAATGGTGGCATCATCCAGAGAGTGGGCCCCCCCAGCAGCACGTAGGGACTGTGGAGAGTGGGGGGGTAGAGAGGAAGGTCAGCCAGCAAGGGGCCATTTGGAGTCACAAGGCCATGCGTCCTGGGAAGGCACACCAGTGGGGGCCCTTTAGTTTAGGGGCGCACAGCCCCTGAAGGCATCACTGGGCAGTGAAGTGGTCAAACCACCGCCGAGAGCTCAGGGACCCTCCGTCTCCCACGTTCCATCCCCTGACAGGCTAATACGTTAAAAATTTCAGTGCTTAAAATTATAAAGCTTCAGTTAACCTAAAAATGTCACCCCCTCCTGAGAGACTCCTCCCCCACGAGTCAAGGCTGACAAAGCCCCATTCTGCTTAGACAGCTGGGTTATCCCAGGAGGAGGGACACCTCACGCTGTTCTGGGCTCTGCCTTATCTGACCTCGGGCCCACTCTGTGAGCTGCAGGGCGGTTTGCTCTCACTTTTCAAACAAGACTGAGGCTCTGACCAGAAGTGTCTGGAAGGCAGACCTGCGGGGGCCTCATGCAGAGTTGACTCCACGGCACCAGGACCAAATCAGCATTATCTAGGCCACGGTGTGGGGCAGGGCTTCGAGTCATGCTCCCTCGAGGCGACAATCCAGGGAATGGATGCGCGCTGGCACAGCTGGCCAGACAAGGCTGGGAGCCCTCCAGCTGGCCCGGACACAGAGGTGCTCAGCAAACACTGCCAGGTGGGCAGAAGTTTCCTCGCCCTGTTGTCCGGTGTTGCAAGTTCCCTCCTGGACACAGGGGTGGGTGGGGCGGGCAGGTCCCTGCAGCGACTGGCTTGTTATTCGGGGTTTCAGGCTTGCAGTGGGCAGGGCAGAGCCCTGGCGGGTGGCCCGGGTCACCCCTAGCAAACTCCTTCGAAGTTAGCCTGCAGCCCTGAAAGTCCTAGCAAGGCCGGCCTCCAGCTCCTTCGCCCGCATCCGGTCGGCTCTGAGCCTGTTCAGACCCAACGAAGACCTTCCCAGGAGGACAAGCCCTGGCTCCCACCAGCCTGGGCTCCTTGCTGGGGGTGGACTGAGGTGGGGGGAACCTAACCAAGCCCCCTTGGCTAAGCCCCATGGCTCAAGGGGTCTCCTCTTGGAGCTGGGGAGACCCTTGGGCATTTCCCATGAGCTTGTCACATGTGTTTCCAAACCCCCAGTTCCATTCCATTCTCCCCTTGATCCTGAAATTGGACACCCCTCCCTGCCCCGACCTCACGCACCCAAAGCAAGACTCATTGGAGAGGCCCCTACCCTACTACCTCCAGTTCGGCTCCTCTCTTGAACTAGCTGTGTGCCCTTAGGCAAACCACTCAACCTCTCTGAGTTTGCTTTCTCAACTGCAAAATAGATCATTTCACAGTACTCTCTTCTCTCTGGAAATACAATATGATGGGCTTGTTTCTCCTCCCTGGCTGGCAAGCCTTTCCCGGGCAGGAATAATTCTCATATCTGTTCTTCTCTCTCCCCCAAGGCTGGAAGTACAGGAGGCACTCATCACACGGAATAAGTAGAAGTCCTTTAAAAAATAACAAAAACACGTGATGTTTACTCTGTGCCTGGCACCCAGCTAAACAGTTTCTATGGATCCTCTCATTTAATCCCCATATTGCTCCAGGAAGGTACTATTGTTCCCATTTTAAAGATGAACAAACTGAGGTTCCGAGAGCTCAGCAGTGCATCCAGGGCCAGGCAGCCTTGCACGGGGTAGCTGAGACAGAAGCCAGAGCAGGAGCTCACATGTGTTTGCAGCAGGGACATTCCCGAGAGAGAAACCGAGGCCTGTCTGAGACCAGTACGCGAGGCCGGTTTCTAAACTGCTAAATTCAGTTTCCGGGGGAAAGGATCCCTCCAACCCGCCATCCCTATCTACACTGCTCCCGACTGCTGTGGTCAACTGTGTAATTCGCTCCTACAGCAGTGGTTCTCAACTGGGGCTGATTTTGCCCCCAGGGGGCATTTGGTGACATCTGGAGGTGTTTCTTGGTTGTCACAACTGAGCAGTGCTACTGGCATCTAGTGGGCAGAGGCCAGAAATGCTGCTAAACAGCCTACAAGGCACAGGACAGCCCCACAAGGAACAAGGATCTGCCCAACGTCAGTGCTGGGGGGACCCTGGGCTGGAACGATGGGGGGGACCCTGGGCTGGAAGGATGGGGGGGACTCTGGGCTGGAAGGATGGGGGGACCCTGGGCTGGAATGACGTGGGGCACCCTGGACTGGAACGATGGGACCCTGCAGTGGGCTCTTGGCCAGGCCCTTGTCTGAAATCGCTTCTCCTGAAGTACAGATGATTCCCGTTCTACAGATGGCGAAGCTGCGGCTCGCAGAGGTTGGGACTTACGTTAGGGCTCTCATTCAGAAAACCAGCACTCTGCCCTGGTGGCTGTGCCCTCCCTGTGGCCTCGGGAGGTGACTCAGCATCAGAGGAAGCGGGATGGGGGTTGTAGGTGAAAAGGAGTCAATTCGGAGTCAGGAGCTCGGGGTCTGTTGCCAGCTCTGTGGTAACTCCATCCTGTGGCCTTGGCTAAGTCACTGCCCCTTTCTGGGTTTTTTTTTTTTCCCCCTTTCTGGGGTTCCCTCCAGTACCGGCTGACACTGGCCCTTTGGTGGCAAGAGGGACCTTGGGGGCTTGAAGATGGGGAGGGGTGGCCCAGGTTCTGATGGGGGTCTCTGGGGTCTTCTATGTCTGCCTCTGCATCAAGGACAAACACAGACGGAGGAGAGCGGAGCCCCCACCCTCGGGAAGCCTGGGGGGAGAGGGTCTCTGAGCAGAAAGGATCAAGTCCAGGGGTCCGCCCACCCCCTGCGAGCTCCAGAGGCGAGCATCCAAGAGAGGGCTCCCAGAGTCTCGAACTAGATTCTCTTCCAGTGTGGCTAAACGCAGCCCTTCTCCAGAGCACCCTGGCCGGGCCGGCACAGGCCTCCTCGGGGGGCTACAGCCTCCTACTAAGATCTGGACCCACCTGGCTTGAAATGAGATGTACTGCTTACCTGTGGGGGGCTTTGGGTGGGACTCCAGACACATCACAGCAAGATGCACCTTAAATAGCCCAGAAGCCAGAAGGTCGACCCCCGGCACTATAGGGTGGAGGGCGGTTGACTGGGGGTATTCTGGTGGCAGGAATGGAAGGGTGCTGGGGCTCCAGCACAGATCAGAAGTCAGGGACAGGATCCCCAAGATCCCCAGGCTCCACGGAGCTCTGTTTGCTGGGCATGCTGGAACCCCTGGCTCCTGAGGAAAACTGAGGCCACCCCACAGTTAGAAGGATTTAGCACTTGGCTGTTTTATTTCCTCAAGAGCAAGACAGACAGGAGGTAGGGCTGCAACCCAGCTCAGCACCATGTGGGCAGCTCCCGGCCCCGTGTGCCACCGCCACCTTATCTCCTGCCTCCACTGGGTACCCACAAGTCAACCGAATTCCTGGCCTCTGGGATGTCGCCCTATGTGCCACTCGAGTTGGAGGAAGAAAGAGTCTCCCGGTCAAAGCAGAGTCTGAACAACCAGGCTGCGCACAGCTGGTGGCTGAGTGTTACCCGAGCTTCCTGCGTCCTGCCCAGCCTCAGACGGTCTTCCCCCGGCCCTCTGAGATAACTTCCTCTGGCTGCGCGCGCATGTACCACTCCACCCAGGAGCCATCATAGATGGCCACGTCGGGCTTGCCGCAGAGGTAGGCCCCAAGTGCCACATGGCAGGCTGTGACACCGGAGCCACATGTGGCCACCAGCGGCTGGGACAGGTCCACCTTCTTGTCCTGGAACAGGCGGCGGATGTCCTCGGGGCTCTTCTCCAGGCCCTCGTCTGTCAGGAAGTCCGTGAAGGGGATGTTCACGGTGCCAGGGATGTGGCCGGGTTCGATGCCTGTTGCAGGAGGGCAGGAACAAAGTGGGGGTTGGTATGAATGGCCCCCTGTACTCCCAGAGGCCCCCTCACAGCCACAGCCCGAAACCTTCTATACGCCTCATCTCTTATAGTCCGCACACCAGGAGACGCAGGCGCTCTGCACAGACATTTCCATTTTACAGACGGAGATGCTGAGGGTCAGCATCACCCAAGGTCCTGCAGCCAGCAAATTGCTGGCTGGAATCCGAACCTAAGACTCGACTCAGAGCCCCACTCTGCCACCCCGCCCCCCACCACCTCCTGATAACCGGCTATGCCTATGCGCATGGGGACAACAAAGACAAACAAGACCTCTGCCTTACTGGGGCCTACAGCACTCGCAGCCAAGGAGTTTTGATGTGGCCTGCCTGGCAGACAGGCAATCACCAAATAATTACAGGTGACATGGGTGTTACCAAAAGCCCCACGGGGTGCCATGGGGGCACATTATAAAAGATACTAATAGTAACAATACCCGCTGATGTTACTGAGGGCTCATGTTGTGCCAGGTACAGTTCTGAGCCCCGCGGCGTATTTTCTCCTTTCATCCTCCGCAAGCTCTATGCGAAAGAAATTACTATCCTCCGTTGGTACAGATGAGGAGACAAGGCACACGAAATCGCTCGCCCGAGTCTGGAGGGGGAGAGGGGCCCCAGAGCCTGTGCTGCTGACCAGCAGGCCGCACAACCTGGGAGGCGGGAGGGCCATAAAGCTTCTCTGAGAAAGCCCTGAAGGGAGAGGAGGATTCAGCCAGGTTGAGGGGTCTGGGTGGTGGGGGCTGAGCACCCCAGGCAGACGGAGTCCTTGGGGACAGAGGATGAAATCCCATGGTGCTTAGAGGGGTTAAAGGTGATCGTGGTGAAAGCCCAGACAGTAGGGAGGCCGAGGACCCAGGGGAACCAAGGGGCTGGGAGCCCCTCGGCAAGCCTGGATTAAGACTCGGGCTTCGACAGGACCACGAGGGGAAATCAGACTTCTGTCTTCAAAAGACCGTTTTGCTCGTAGCATGAAGAACCTGGGCAAGGCTGGTGACCATTCATTGAGAGGGTCAGCCCTTTACCCACATCTCTGGAAACTTGCCCTGGGCTCCCGACACACATTTCCTTTCCACCACTGGCCATTTCATTTCCACCATCCCCCACTAGGCAGTGTTACTGACATTCCCATTTTCATGCCAGGAACTGAGATTGGCAACAAAATGAACCCTCATAGTCAATGGGTCCAATTTTGGCCATTCTGACTCTAGGGCGGCTTCTTCCTCAGTTTCCCCTCACAGTGGGGTGACACTCCCACAGGGAGCTGCTGACCCATGTTGGTATCTATTCTCAGGACTTAGTGGACAGACAGCACTCTGAGTCCATGGCTGGCTGGAAGGCATCCTGCATCCCCACTTAACAGATGCAGAAACTGGGCTCAGTCAGAGTAATTACCTGGAGACCAGGCCGGAGAAAGGAAGGAAAGCAAGCTCTCAGCCCAGCATGGCCACAGTCGGAGCAAGGCTGTCCCCACACCTTGAACCCCACCAAGGCATGCTTCCTCCCCACGCTGGGCCGATGTGGCAAATTACAGGTGCACTGGCCAGTCTCAGGCTGTGGGGCGGGAATGATGGGACGGTGATCTCCTCCACTGATTCACATGGAGCTGCTACGCATACCAGCTGGGTCCACCTTGACAACAGGCCCGCTGGGTGCGCATCGTTATCCCCCATTTTACAGACGAGCAAGCATGACTGAGGTGAGCATTAATCACCTCTGTAAAGAGCCATAACCAGAGACGCACACGTTAATTGTATCACTTCCCATTTCTTGAGTGCATCCTGTGTGTGCAAACACGGAGCTGGCTGCTTTACACACTTGCTCTCATTTAACATTTGACCCCCACCACATCCTTTCTGTTCCATGTTCTGCTCCACTTCACATATGCAGAAGCAGCAGCTCAGAGATCAGGTGACCTGCCAGGTGTCACACAGCCAGTGCAGCCTGGGGGAGGGCTCTGAACCCAGGTCTGGCTCTGGCTTCCTGCCCTATGTTGCTCCATCCCCTCCCACTGGGGGCTGAGCTGCAGGACCCAACAGGTTCAAGGTGGCGTCCTTATTAGGCTGAACCATATGAAATTGCTGCCTGTGTAGGTTCAAAAACTGCTGGAGATGAGCAGTTTCATTTGGTTTGACCTAATGTCAATATTGCTCTGCAGGGACCTTCGGAATTTGCCAAACCTCTCTGAGGCACTGACTCCGTGCTAGCTACCAGCTTAGCCTTTAGGATGCACTGGGAGCATGGACCGTCCTTGCCCTGGGGCCATCTTAAACAGTGCTAGGACAGGGTGAGCCCAAGCTGCTCTGAAAGCACAGGACAGAAGATCCAACCCCGATGCCCCAACCCAGGGGCCTGGGGGATGCCATTCAGGGAGAGCTTCCCAGAGGAAGTAGCAAATTCCCTGCACTGCCCCCCGCCCCCTGAAGCGGGCAGGAGAGAAATGGCTTGGGAACAACCGCTCCCTGCGTTAAATGGACGGCCTCCCAAGTTCAGCTCCTGGCCGGCTGCTTCCTGAGACCTGGCAAGGCAGCCATTCTAAGGCTCCATTTCCTCCTCTGTACAACGACAACACCCACCGCTCGGCATCATTGAAAGGCTCACACCAAGGCGGCCACGGACCCCCCTGCTTTGTGGGGACCCCTCCCTACCTCCTACAGGGCTTTCCTGTGGGCTGTCTCCCTGGGGAAATCCAGCTCCCAGCAGAAGGTGCCGCCCCAGCCCAAGCCAGCAACCACCCTCTATTGGGTTTCTGCTCCCAGCTGGGGCAGCAACCTCACTCTCTCCTTACCGCCCTTCTGTCCTGCCCTCTGCAAGCCTTGGCCCCTGGGAGGGACTTTCCTGCCATTCAACGCCCTAGACTCCTCCTCTGCCCACCTCCATCACCCTCAGGGATGGCATAGCCCTGACCTGGCCTCATCCCTCTGGGGCTTTTCCCAAACCACCCCTCCCCTTCCGCAGTGACCCCCTACAGCCATACTGTTGGGGTGAGGCTGCTTGGGTTCTCACACTTATACAGGGCACCCTGGGTTCCCAAGGAATTTGGGGTAGTCATTGCCCCAAGCACGGATGGGGCTGGGGCAAGGATTATTGCCCCACTTGAGGATTAACGCCAGGGAGGCCCCCAGAATCCGGATCTCCCGGCCCTCTGCGCATTGCTGTTACCGTCTCGGGGCTCGGGCTCCGTGCCCCGGAACCGGCCGGTGGCGCGGGCGTCCACCACCTGGAAGCGCCGCGATTCGAGGTTCTCCTTGATGTCCTTGTACGTCTTGACGAAGGCGGGGTCCAGCGCGGCGTGGAACTCAGCGGGCGCGGGGCGGCTCTTGCCCGAGCTCAGCGGGAGGCCCTGGCGCAGCCAGTGGCGGAAGCCACCGTCCAGCAGCGACACGGCGCGGTGGCCGAAGGCGCGGAACATCCACCAGACGCGGGGCGCGGCGTAGAGGCCCTGGTCGCTGGCGTCGTAGACCACGACGTGGGTGGCGGCGCCCACGCCCAGGCGGCCCGCGTACTCGGCGAAGTGCGCCGCGCTGGGCAGCATGTGGTCGTAGGGCGACGTGCGGTCGCTGCATTGGTCGATGTCAAAGAACGCTGCGCCCGGGATGTGGCGCTCCTCGAACTCGCGGCGCGCGTCGCGGCCCAGCTTGGGCAGGTACCAGGAGGCGTCGAGCAGCTGCAGGGGCTGCCCGGCACGCGGGGCCCGCAGCGCCTCGGCCACCCACTGCGCCGACACCAGCGCGCGGAAGAGCTGCTGCGGGGCCATGGCGGCGGCGACACTGGGGCTGCAGGACTGGGCGACAGGGAGGATGTCAGGAGGGAATCAAGGAAGAGGTCGGCCCCGGGGACGAGAAACGGTGCTGGGGCTGGGGGCCGGGGCCTCATGGGAATAGTAGCTGGCACTCACTGAGTTCCTGCTGTGTGCCACTTAATCCTCACTACCTTAGGACACTGCGGGACACAGACTAGGTTCCCACTTATTTGCTGAGTAGCCTCCAGAGGTTTGGTATTGTTCTCATTGTTTCTCAGAGGACCCACTGGGGCTCAGAGAAGTGCACTAACTTGACCAAGGTCACCAGCTAAGCGTGGTGGTGCCAGCCTTCACACTAGCAGTCTGACACCAGAATCCAGACTTCTCACGGACATGCGCTCTGCAGGCCCTGGGAGCCCAGCAAGGTCAGATTCTGTCCCTTGAGCCTGAGCTTTCTCTCCTGACCTTCTTGCGGCAGCAGCAACAGTGACCTAGTGCCTCTCTCCCGCTCCCCTCCCCTCCCCCGCTGGCCAGCAGCTGAGAGTGTGCCAGCCCACCAGCCCACCAGTCCACCGTGACAGGTCAGCCCACAGCCTTCCAGCACCAGGAGGCTCCAAACGTGTTGAGCCCCTGTGCAGGGAGCCCCCAGTCCACTAGGTGCCTTTGTGCCGGCTAGAGAAAGGCAGAGTTCCCATGGGGCACATGGCTGCATGAGTGGGTCCACGCCGCACAACCCCTCAGCTGTGCACCCCCTGTGCAGAGAACAACCTCTACGTCCAGACCAGGCTGTCCTGCTGCCATTCTGTGGCGTGCTCCGGTCAGCCAGCCTTTGGTAGAGGGTGCATCAAGATGCCTGTTTTGTGAATGAGGCGACTGGCAGTTAGGGACATAAGCAAGCTCCTTACCCTTGGTCGCAGAGCTGGTCAGGGGCTGCTTCAGGATCTGAAGCCAGATTTCAGCTCCTGAGGCTGGACTTCTTCCCCAGCCCCAGGTCAACGATGACCAGGGCCTAATGAGTCCACAGTGGGATACCCTGTGCCCAGCCCCCTCCTACAGTCCCATCACAGGCTGGCTTTTAGGAACCCACTTCGTCTACACGGGAAGTGCGCTGGACAATGAGAAACTCTTGACTTTGCCAGGCCCTGATGGTAAGATGGGCCACAGGCCTGCTCAAGAGACAACAGAACTGAGGAAAGTCTGGAGTGCAGTGTGAGCAGAGGGGCCATGACCTTAGCCTGAGGGGGGAGCAGAAGGAGTGGGAAGGCTTCCTGGAGGAGGGGGAAGTCCAAACCGATCTGACCTTTTCAGGGACCCAGGAAACGGAAGCTTGACCTTCAGGATGAGGAGGCTGCCGAGGGGGCTCTGGCTGAGGGGCAATCCCAGTCTCGGTGGGGGTTCCCCACAGCTGGATAATGCTGGGAGATGCCACAGGCCGCTTCTTGAAGGACCCATTGAGAGCCACCACAGCCCCGCCCCCCCACCATTCTTGGGGCTCCTTGTTTTCTTCCCCAAGGATCCATTTAGAGTAGAAAGAACCTTGGTTTGGGAGCCAGAGGCCCCCAAAGTCAGCACAAATCCCAAGTAAGTCCGGTGCTTAACGGGCTGTGTGAGGTCCGGCCTGTTCGGCTCCTGGGCTGTGTCCATTGGGCTTCCGACCCTCACCTCTTAGAGGGAAGATGAAATCATGAATGTAGAGGGGCCATCATTATGCACTGCACGTGGCTGGTTTTAATAATCATTAAAAACAGTCTAATAAAAATCCCATTCTTTCTTCAACGTTGCTCTCATAGGTGGCCTTTGAACGGACAGCAGCTAATGCAGAATTAGGATTTCAGGATAGGGTGGGACTTCAGAGGTTGGAGGTCATCCTGCCCCACCCTCCCTGCTGGATTGGCAGTTCTCACAAGGGACTGCCGGAGGTAGAGGGTCTGGGAGAGCAGGCTGTGTGTCTAGAAGGGCAAAGGGCGAAGGGCAAAGGGCGGGGACCAGGTCGCTGTGTGCTGGGCAGGCCTGGACCACTGCAGGTGGGGATGCTGTGGGAGTGAAGGACTCCAGGACAGAAAGGACAGCCCTGGGCCCACCTCGGGATCCCCTAGCACACACCTGCACTCGGGGACGTGGGAGTGCCAGGCCGCCATCTGGGGTTGGCCCTGCAAGAGTAGGGCTCCACTGAGCCTGGGTGTTCCTCGAGGACTTGCCCAGCCTCGTCGGTCCCGGGACCCCTCTGCCCCCCGACTGCACAGCACAGAGCTCAGAGGATGCGCTGGGCAAATGTTCCCAAAGCATGAATTTTTGCAACTTCCTGTGAGAATATAATTATTTCAGAATAAAAAGAAATTTTAAAAGGAAGATGAGAAAAGCACCCCAGGCATATGGAACAGCACAGGCAGACAGCCGAGTAGGGGCAGGGGTGTCCCACCAGCTTGCAAAGAACTAGTTGCTGGATTCCCAGGAATTATGCCAACCGGTTGTTAAACACAGCCATTGTTAAAAATTAAATCATATAAACACAATTAAATAGGTTGAATTAAAACCAAAGGCAGTTTTTCAGAAGTTTGAGGCTTTGGCGCTGAGCAAGGGGAAACCAAGGCAGCCGGTGACACACGGGGCTTCAGATCTGGGAGGACAACAGGCTGCCTCAACTCCACCACGTGTCCCCAGCGACTGGCTCGGCCAGCCTCTCTCCCTGGTCTTTAAATAAGCTCCTGGCCTACCGCGCAGGCCTCTTGTGGGAAGTAGGAACACCGTCCGAGTACCCAGCAAAGTGCCTCACCAAGCAGGCCTTGACACACGTTAGTTTCATTACACTCCGGGCACTTCTTTGCCAGTTTCTCCTCCTGGAGCCTCTGGGTCAGCTGGCCTCTTTCCTTGGCCTCTCTGTCCGGCTTTATGAGTTCTCCTCCCTCCCGCCCGCCCTCTCTTGCGCCACCCGATGATCCCCACCCCCACGCACGGCTCACCGCCCCCCCCCCCCCCGCCCGCCCCCCCCCCCGCCACTCACCCAGACCTCCCCCTGCAGGCCTCCCCAGGCTGCCGCGCACGGCCATCCTTAGGGCGAACCGAGGGGCGCGCCTTTCCTCCCAGCCTGCGGCCGCCTCCTCCGCTCAGGCCCCGCGGGGGAGCCCCTCGCCGCGCACCCCACCGATCCACCGCCCCCTAAGGACAGGCCAGCGCGACGCCGCAGCAGTTACCCAGGTCTCGGGCTCCCGGCTTCCGGGCTTGGCCATGGCCCCGGCGGCAGGGCACCCCCTCCCCGCGCCCGCAGCCGTCCCCTCCTCTCGCCACCAACCTGCGGCGGGCCAAAGGGAGGAGACTCCGGCACAGCCCACCGCTGCGGCCACTCGGAGCCGCCGCTGCCCCGCGCCTTCCACTGGCCGGGCCGGGGGGACGCCCGCGCCGCCACGCTCTGCCCCGCGCCCGGCCCGCGCCGCCCCGCGCCCCCGGCGGGTCCCCGGGGCTCTGAGAGGCGCGGCGCACTGGGGGGCAGCGCGGGGCGGGCGCGGCTGGGCGGGGACCGCGCGGGGGCGCGGCGGGCGGCGCTCTGTCCCCCCTCGGGCGGCGACGCGATGGTGTGGGCCGGCCGGGTTGTTGTGGGCTCTGGCTTTGAACGCGCCAACTTCTCCAGCGGGCAGGGCGAGCTCCAGGGCGGCGGCGAGGGCGAGTGAGTGCGGCGGGGTGGGGGCGGCGGCAGACCGCTCGGGATTGGGCCGCTGGCCAGGCCACCTGCGATCCAGGGGAAAGTCCCCGTAACGAGAGCAGGTCGGGGTGCTCCGGGAAGCCCGGACCCAACTTGGGCACAGGGCACGGAGCCGGGGCTGGACTAGCGCATTCTGGAGGCGGGCGAGCGCAGGCTGCCGCGAGGCGGTGGGCGGGTTTGCTAGAGGCGCGGACCCTCCCCCGCGCGCCCACTCCCCTGCCTTCCCGGGAAAGCGGGCTCCAGGCCCGAGTTGCCATCTCTCCCCAATCTTGAGCCTCTTTTCGCTGCTCTTTTCTGGCACGATCCCGAGGGCGAATACTATAGCTTCTTGGGCCTGTCGCCCTCCCAGCCAGCTCCCGAATGGAGCCCTCCGCAGCTCAAGCCCCACCCCCTCCTGCGCGGGAGGGACCCAGGGAGGGGCGGAGCAGGCTTGTCCTGGGGAAACTTTGAACCTACCCCACTGCACGCCCCAGCCCCACGGGGTTGCTGTAAACAGGTGCGGCAGGGAAAAAGCTCGTCCTGCCAGGCCCCACTCCACTGCACATACAGCTTCATTCCAGTCTCTTTCCTAGTTCCCATCCGCGCCAGGTGACGTGCAGAGCTGAAAGCATGGTTCACCAGGTCCTCTACCGGGCGCTGGTGTCCACCAAGTGGCTGGCGGAGTCCGTCCGGGCTGGCAAGCTGGGGCCTGGCCTGCGGGTGCTGGACGCGTCCTGGTACTCCCCCGGCACCCGCGAGGCCCGCAAGGAGTACTTAGAGCGCCATGTGCCCGGCGCCTCCTTCTTTGACATAGAGGAGTGCCGGAACGCGGCGTCGCCCTATGAGATGATGCTGCCCAGCGAGGCGGGCTTCGCCGACTACGTGGGCCGCCTGGGCATCAGCAACGACACGCACGTGGTGGTGTATGATGGTGACGACCTGGGCAGCTTCTACGCGCCTCGGGTCTGGTGGATGTTTCGTGTGTTTGGCCACCGCACGGTGTCTGTGCTCAATGGTGGCTTCCGGAACTGGCTGAAGGAGGGCCACCCGGTGACATCTGAGCCCTCACGCCCAGAGCCGGCCATCTTCAAAGCCACACTGGACCGCTCCCTGCTCAAGACCTACGAGCAGGTGCTGGAGAACCTGAAATCTAAGAGGTTCCAGCTGGTGGATTCACGTTCCCAGGGGCGGTACCTGGGAACTGAGCCAGAGCCAGACGCAGTAGGTAGGTGTCCCAGAGGGTGGGTGGTCCCTGGGGAGTCATGCTCAGTGGAAGGATGGGGAGTAAGGATGTCTGGGACCCTCTCCTGTTTTGCCCTCAGTTCCCCCCATGTGGGTCTCAGTCTTTCCATCTGTAAAATGAGAGGTTAGAGCTAAGCCTAAAGGCTTTTTCAGCTCTGATGCATGAGGACCTGCGTATGTGTTCCCATAGCTATGTGCGTGTTCCCATAGCTACACGCTAACAAGCAACCTAGCATCTGTATGGGGTGGCATCTGCAGAGAGGACTGGTGACACATCCACCCACATCCGTGCCCAGACACTAGCTCCCTCATGCCCAGGGCTGTGTCCATGAGCCAACACATGCATTGCTACACAGAAGGACACCTAGCTTCTCAGGGCCTCTCCAGCTCCCCAGAAACCCTTATGGACATCAACAATGCCCTTCTCCCAGCACCCCTCCCTCTGCAGCTCTCCGGGGCCCCCCTGACCGTTCCAAACAGCTGCAGCCTGCCTCAGAGCCGTAACAGCAGCTGCCATTTCATGCTAAGCCCTTGACGCTGCATTATCTCATCTAACAAAGCTTAATATCCCCATTTTAGACGGGAGGACTCTGAGGTGCCAGGACATTAAGTTCTCACACAGTTAAGTGGCAGAGTTGGGATTTGAACCCAGCACTGCCTAGTTTCAAACGAATGCTCTAAAGCAGCATGCACCACCATTCTGCCCCACGCCCAGCTCCCAGGCCAGGAGGGAGCCCCTCTGCCAGGCATCGGCAGGGAGTGGGCTCCGGAGTCCTCTCCTATGGACAAAGGGGAGGCTGGAGGTGGGAGGGGCCTCAGGAGAGGAAACGCTGGGTTCTGGAATCTCCTAACAGAACCGCAGAGATCTCACCCTCGCTCCTGCTGGTTGCCCTCCAGCCCCTGCCTGGGCACCTCTGATGGCCAGGACCTCACTGCTCTGGGGGCCCCTGGTGGTCCAGGCTGCCCTGAGCCCCTGGGGTGGCTGGCACTTCCTGGGGCAGTGGCTCTGTCCTCAGTCGACTGCTCTGGGGAATCTAAGTCCTGTGCAACATTTTGCCTAACTTGTTAAAAAACGTCTCTTCCTTTCTGTGCGGGGAGGGGGGGGGCACCGAGAGGAAGGGTCCGGTCAAGGCTGCTGGTTAGCGGCAGGGCAGAGCAAGGAGAGCGCCGGGCTCTGCCTCCCCATCGTGCTTTTCCCAGGCCCCGTGTTTGCCTTGCTGGGCTTGCTGGAGGCCTGGAGTTGAAGATCCAAGTTCGTTGGGCACCTTGCAGAGACTCCTGACGCAGAACTCCAGCAGCCCCCTTGGGCCCTCTCTCCTGGGGACTTCGGCTGCCGCTGTGGGAGGAACGGGCACTAGTTTCTTCAGCTGCCTCCCAGCTTGCCCTGCAGCAACCTGAGAGTAAGAGGAGGGAGAGTGTGCAGATGCCAGGCCAGTCTCCCCGCTCCCATTGTAGGGCTCAGAGAGGGGCAACAGCCTGCCCCAGGAATGCCTCCTCAAGCCCCAAATTCTAAAGTCCCTCCCCCAGTCCCCATCTGGAGTGCGGGGATCCTGATTTGAGCTCAGCTCCTCCTTTGTGGTGGGACCTCAGTCTAATTGCTTGGCCTCTCTGGGTCCCTTATAAGAAACGAGAAGAGTGAGGCCCCCCCCCATCCGGCTGTGGGTTTATTTCAGTGCAGCAGTGGCTGGAGGAGTGTCCTGAGAACTGCAAAGGCCAGGGCCACCGGGAAAGGCCTGGAGGACATGGCACTTCCCTCCCTCCTTCTCTGAGAGGCTCTGCTGGCCTCCTGCACGAGACATTTGGATGCAGAGGCGCACCAGGCTCTGCTGAGTTCGTGGTCCCCAGGTTGGGCTGGGATCTGGGAGGTCCCCCCGTGGGCTTAACGGTCCAGATGTAACACCCAGGGGAGTGTGAGTGGCAGGCAGGCCCCAGGCAGCCCTGGGAGGAGTGACCCCCAGGAGGAGCTGGATGCGGGGCCTCAGAAAACCGCCAACCCCTTCTGCTGACCGTAGGCAAGCAGCTTCCCCTCGGGCCTCAGTTTCTCTGCTCCGGTGCTTGTGGTCCTGTTCATGAGGGGTGCAAGGTGGGAGAGTCAGCCAGACCTGAGTTCATGCCCTGGTGTGGCACTTTTGTGTGGCCTCAGGCGAGTCACCTCACCTTTGAACCCTTCTCCTTAATGAAAGGAACCCTGTGCACCTTCCAGGAGCTGTGGGGGAGGAGAGAACGGAGGTGGGAGTTGATCCACTCAGCATCTTTCTCAACCTTATTCTCCTTTCCTCCCCCCTCGGGGTCAGTGAGGGTGAAGAGGGAGGGTATTGGCCGCCTAATGAGCACTTTCATTTGTGGACTCCTTTATGCACATCCTCTCCTTGCCACCTACAGCGGCCCTGCAGGGGAGGCAGCGGGTCGGAACCTGTCCCACATTGCAGGTGGGGATGGGAGCACAGAGTGGCCAAGACGTAACCCCAGTTGGCAGCCATCAAAGCGTGGCTGTTTCTCAAGGCCACTGCTGTGAGCAAACACAGGGACAGGGGAAAGGTCACAGCTCCACGGTGCTGGTGTCCTTTCATGGGATCCTGGGGCCCCTCTGCCTGTCTCTCCCTCCTGGGTCGGGGGCTGCCCACTGGGGCCACCTGCACTGGATTCCTTAGTGGCTTTAGGAGGAAAGCAAGAAAGAGCCAAACAGGCTTTCCTGGCCTTGAAAACTCAGCTCGCTCAGTGACCTGAGGGATGTCTACTCACGCACTTGTCTGGCATCTTCTTGGCCAGAGTTGGACCACAAAGTCCCAGACCTCTGAGCGGCTGAGGAACCTGAGAGGTCATCTCATCCATTCCCGGCCTCGGCCCCCTTTCCCAGCAAGGCTCAGGGTGGTCAAAGAACGCAGTCTTTGGGGTGGGACAGACCTGAATTCACTTTACACACCTTTGCTGTGTGTCCTAAGGCAAGTCACCTCACCTCTCTGAGCCTAGGCTCCCCATTGGTGGCAGGAGGATAATCTCCCCAGCTTTGTGAGGATTGAGGAAGATAAAGTTCTTGAGATCATCATTGTCTGGGCACCTGGTGCCCGAGATTATGAGCATGGTGGCCTGCCTGCTGGGGGTAGGGAAAGCCACGAGCCTGCAGCTGAAGCTGGATTTGGGAGAAGAACGGTAGGAGCCCCTGGCTTCTGGGCCCTGTGTGTCTTCCCTCCGGTGGCTCTGCTCCAAGGTTCTCTGGGCCAGGTTCATCCGGCCTTCCCCACACGCAGGCAGTCAGTTCCTGCTCATTTGAATTCTTCAGCCAGGGCCTGAGCCCCTGCTGGCAGAGATGGAAGGAGGACCCCTCCTCCCGAGGCGGCCGAGTGTGGGGGGCCGGAGCCTACGGGACCCCTGACTTCTTTACTCGGCAGAGGTGCCTTTGATGTAACCAGATGGGCTGTTTCATCGGGGGTGGGGGACGAAACAACACAGCATTCAGGACTGAACGACCGCGGGCGCTTTTGAACGCACTTAAATCCGGCCCATCGTCTGGATGCCGAAACATTTTGAAGTTGGGTTTCTTGGCAAAGAACACCCTCGAGGCCAACACATCAAGTGTTCCTCACTGCCTGGGTCCGCACACGTCCCATCTCAGATTAGCTTCCAGACAAAAAGATGAAATCACAACAGGAGGAAATCGCTGTAATTTTCTAAGTGGGGCCATCTGTTCAATCGAAGGCCAGTGAATTCCGGAACCCGCTTTGAACGTGGGGAGAGGGGAATGGGATGTGGCTCTGTGACTGCACGTCGACGGTGTGCCAGGGTCACTGGGGTCTTCTCCCTACGGGAGCTGACTTCCCCACAAGCCTGAGGGCTAGGGGGGTTGTCTCCCCACTTCACAGATGGGGAAACTGAGGCTGAGAGGTGCAGGGCCAGCATGGCTGCAGACTGCCCTACTGTGTGCCCTGTCACTCTGGCCAGTTTCTCTCCCTCCCACTGCCACCCACACTGGTCCTGCCTTGCCCCGTGGTTCGATTTAATGGGGTGGTGGGGAATTTTGGAGGAAAGGGAGCCCAGAGAGACGCCCAGAGCTGCCTCAGTGCCCACTGCCTGGGTGGGGGCTGCTCGAGGAGGAGAGCAGTGACCTGGGTCTGCCGGCGCTGGACCGAGGCCCTGACCCCGTGGGCAGTGCCAGCTCTGGCAGCGGCCCAGTCCCCTGTGCCCCACTTACTGACTGTTCTGGAGCCAGATTTGGTAGAAGGGCCTCACTGGGTGCAGAGACAGTTCCAGCGTGGACCCCCGAGCCAGCCTAGACCCTCATTCTGCTTCCATCCAAGCCTCTCAGGGTTGGTAGCAGGGGCCTGTAGGGCCTGCACTGCCCCCATTCTCACCTGCCCCCCAGGGTGGGTGGGCTGGCCTCAGGACTGAGAAGTGACATGACTTGCTTAAGGTCACCCTGATGGTAAGTGGCAGAGCTGGGATTTTTTTTTTTTTTTGGTGAGGAAGATTGGCCCTGAGCTAACATCTGTTGCCAGTCTTCCTCCTTTTGCTTGAGAAAGATTGTCCCTGAGCTAACATCTGTGCCAGTCTTCCTCTATTTTGTATGTGGGATGCTGCCACAGCATGGCTTGATGAGCAGCGTGCAGGTCCACACCCAGGGTCCCAACCCACGAACCCCAGGCCAGGGCAGCAGAGTGTGCGAACTTAACCACTCTGCCACCGGGCTGGCCCGAGAGCTGGGATTGGAACTTATGTTTAACACCAGGTCACATGCTCTTTCTACAACTGTGTGCTTAACAGGAACCCACGGGACTCGGTTTGGTCCTGGGTCTGTCTTTACCTCTCTGTGTGGCCTTACGCGAGCTGTTTCATTCTGCTGAGCCTCAGTGTATTTGTCTGTGAAATGGAGTGACATTATACGTCATGAATTATGTGGCTGTCCGTCTCACACCTGTCTTCCTTGCTAGACTAATTCCCCTGCGAGCCCGGGCCATGTCTCTCCCTTTCACCCCTGTGTTCTCAGCAATGGGCACAGCACGGCATATTTGCATTTATCATCTTATTTCCTCTTCTCAAGAGCCCTGTGAGATAGGTACGTACCACAGAGCCCATTTTACAGATGAGAACACTGAGGTCAGAGAAGTGAAGTGGTTTGCCCAGGGGAAAGGGCAGTAAATAGTAGAGCTGATACTCACACCTCTCAAGCAGGTAGGATGGTGGACATTCCTCCTTCAAGGCTGGTTTTGGGGGAGGGGACACTCTGTCTTAAGTCGTGAGCACTGAATGTAGGTAGGGCCAGGAATAAACTGAGCTCCAAGAAGGGCAAAGACATTATTTTTATTTGCGCAGCGCTCTATCCTTATATCCAGGACAGGTGGCAGCCTCTGGGCCCCACTCGCCCCCACCCCCGTGTTCCTCCTAACCCTGTCCTGCCCTTTGTCCTCTGCCCCTGCCCAGGACTGGAGCCAGGCCACATCCGAGGCTCGGTCAACATGCCGTTCATGGACTTCCTGACGGAGGACGGCTTCGAGAAGAGCCCAGAGGAGCTCCGTGCGATGTTCGAGGCCAAGAAGGTGAACCTCGAGCAGCCTCTCATTGCCACCTGCCGGAAGGGTGTCACTGCCTGCCACATTGCCCTGGCCGCCTACCTCTGTGGCAAGCCCGACGTGGCCATCTACGACGGCTCCTGGTCCGAGTGGTTCCGCCGGGCCCCGCCGGAGACCCGGGTGTCCCAGTGGAAGGGCGGGAAGGCCTGAGCGGTGGGCTCTCCTCCCACGGCCCGTGACTCCCGTGCTTAGTGACCCCAGCGTGACCTGCCACTGGGTCATGCTCTCCAGCAGAGGAGACTGACACGTGGTAGGATTGCTGTCAAGCCCCCCTTCCCCTGGCAGCACTGGAATAAACTTGGCCTTTTCCCAGGAGCTGTGTTTGCCTGTCTCTCCCTGGTTCCATCCTTGCCCCACCCTTCTGTCTCCTTCCTGTTCCTTAGACCCCCACCGAGGAGAGAAACCTCCGTGGCAGCCCCCAGCTGGGGAAGCCACACTGAAGACACCACTCGATTATTTAGTTTTTGCAAAGGAAGCCGCTTCTTGTCCCACGTCAGGCGGAGGGTGCTGGGACCTACCTGGAAGGGGTACCGGGAGGCCAGAGAGAGGGGAGACCACGGCTAGCCAGGCACCAACCCCTCTGCCAGGCCAGCCCTCTGGGTGGGCGGGATGGGACGGGGGGCAGCTGGCCTTCCAGATGGGCGTTCAAAGAGGTGTCACACAGCAAAGGCCCCGGGGCCTCTCCGAAGAGGCGATGCTCAGAAGCAGCCCACAGGAAGGTGGACTCTGCCTGGGTGCCCTTCCTGGCTTAGAATAAGACCCTTTTATTCTGGGAGCGATGGGGCAAGGTGCTGGAGAAGCAGTTCAGCGCCCGGGGAGGGTCTTAGAGCTCGGGCGGTGTGATGTGAACCAGGAAGCTACAGGAGAAGAAAAACCTGGTGGACCGGCCCCATGTGCCTGGCTTTCGAGCTTCCCAGAAACATTTCTCGAAGCCCTCCTTTGGGGCTGTGAGATGACTCCAGACCCCACCTACTGGGGATCCCCTGCTCCTGCCGTCCAGCCTTCCTGGGTTAACACACGGCCCTGGAGGGCAGGGACCGAGTCCGGCCGTGCTATGCCGCAGCCTCCAGCTGGACATCGGGGCAATTGGGCGCTCAGTGAGAGCTGAGGAGGCTGGCTCAGGGGCTGGTGTGTTGGGTCGGGGGCTGATGGCCCTTGGGGTCTGCAGTGGAAGAGGGCTAGAGCCTTTGGTCTTCAGTCTGGGTGGCTGTCCCCTTTCACCTCCATGCAGTCCTCATGCCAGCTTTAGGTCTCTTACTGGAGCCTTGAGGGGCCAAAGAGCCGGCCTCGGCGGATGACTCCTCCTCCTCGCCCTCCTCTTCCTGCTCCTCCAATCCCAGAGATCACTTGGTCAACACGTTTGTTTATTGAGCACCTGCTGTGAGCCGGGCGCTGGTGCAGATGCTGGGGACACGGCAGTGAATACAGTCACCTCCCCACTCGCATGTGGTTTCCATCCCACTGGGGGAAAGAATAAATACGTATCTAGTGTGTCAGGTGGTGACAAGCACTATGGGAGAAAAGATGGGGGATTGGGGAGTGGGGGGGTGGTTAGGATGATTTTGTAAAGGGTGGTCTGGGAAGATGAACAGAGTGCTGAAGGAGGTGAAAAAGAAAGTCATGGGCAAAGATATCCGGGCAAAGAAAGCTTCAGCAGAGGGAACGGCTATGCAAAGGCCCTGAGGCAGGACTGTGCTTGGTGTGGTCAAGAACCAGAGAAGGCCAGCGTGGCTGGGGCCAAGGGAGCCATCAGGAGACTGGGAGGAGCTGAGGTCAGTGAAAGGGGTGGGGGTGGGGGCATGGATAGGGCCTTGCAGATAAATGGAAGGACTTTAAGGTTTTACTCTGGTTGAGGTGGGAAGCTACCAGAAGGTCTTGATCTGAGAGGTGACATGATCCAACAAAGGTTTAACAGAATCGCTTGGCTGCTGAGGTGAGAAAAGACTGTAAGGGGATCTGATGGACAGACTCCAGGGGGATCCCCATGAGATCCACCTTCTGACGTGCACGCCCTAAGTGGTCCCCTCCCTTGAGCGTGGGTGGGGCCTGTGACTTGCTTTTAACCAAGAAAATGTGGCCAAGGCGATGGGATGCTGTCTGAGCTCAGGCTGCTGTAACAAGTTTAAATAACAGACGTGTATTTCTCACACTTCGGGAGGCTGGGACGTCCAAGACCGAGGGGCCAGCAGATCTGGCCCTGGCAAGAGCTCTCTTCCTGGCTTGCAGACGGCCACTTTGTCTCTGTGTCCTCACAAGGTGGAGAATGAGGAGCTCTGGTCCCCCTTTCCCTTCTTATAAGGACACCAATCCCATCATGGGAGCCCCACCTTCACGACCTCATCTAAACCCAATTGCCCCCCAAAGGCCCCTCCTCTAAATACCATCATTTTGGGGGTTCAGTTCAGCATATGAATTTGTGGGGACACAAACGTTCAGTCCATAGTAGATGACGCTTTTGGGATTACAATACATAAGATTTGAATGCCCCTCTTGCGTGGGTGGCCTCTGGCTGACAGCCAGCAAGAAACTGAGGCCGTCAGTCCAACAGACGGTGAGAAACAGTGTCCAGCCGACAGCCCCAGGAGCCCGGAAGGAGATCGTCCCCGGTCTAGCCTCAGATGAGAGTGTGGCCCCGGCCAGCACCTTGATTACAGCTCTAAGACTCCAAAGCAGGTGCCCAGCTGAGCCACGCCCTGACCCCTACCCGCAGAAAGCAGGCCAGAAGGAACGCGTGGGGAGCTGAGTTTGTGGTAATGCTGTTGTGCAGCAATAGGTAATACAGGCGACAAGAGCAAAAACAGGAGACCAGTGGGGAGGCAAGAGTGTTAGCCCTGGCGAGACGCAGTGGTGGTTTGGACGGGAGCCGGGGGAGGTGTGGAGGGGATAAAAGTCTGAGTCTGGTGTACTTGGAGGCCTTGCTCAGAGTTCCAGGTGACATCTCTCTGTGCCAGGCAATGTGCCAGGTATTTCACAAAAATGCCCTCGTTCAGTCCTCGCTCTTACTCTTGGAGGTGGGCTATATCCGTTTCACCTACAAGGAAAGTTCAGCTAAAGAACTTGGCCAAAGTCACTCTTCTCATAAGAAGCAGGCCCAGACTCTGGGGACCCCGAGTTCAACCAGGCTCTCTGCTTCCCGGGGAGGTCCTGAGAGGCTGGGCCTGCAGGCGGCGTTCCCCACCCCACCCCCAGCTGAGCAGCAGCCAGACAGGACTGAGCCTGCAGAAGTCCCTCAACTTTGTGAACCTTCTGTAACCCTTGCGGTTCAAGGGGAGGAGAGCAGACCCTCAGTGTCCCACCTCTACTCTAATTTCCTCCTTGGTCCCTGACCCCTTCCTGTCCAGCTCAGACAACTCCAGGTGCATCTCTCCCTCCCCTCCCCACTCCCCTTGACCTACGTTTATGCCCATAAACACATCGATGCTTTTAATATTTAAGTCCCTTCTAAACTGTTAAGCTCCTACACATCCTTCAAGATCCAGCTCAAATGGCCCTTCCCTGAGCTCCGCCTCCTTTTCCCTATACAGAACTAATCACTCTCTCTACTGAACCCTTTGTAATCCCAACCACTTCCTTCCCACTTGATGGCATCAGAGCCCTCTGGGCCTGACACACGACCTGGGACATGGTGAGTGCACAGGGGACATTTTGGGTGAATGAGAGAGTGCACAACACCTGAGGGCCCCCTGCCTGCTCAGTAGGGGCTTTCGCTGGTCTCGCTCCCTAGGGTGGTGGGCCCATCAGCCCTGAGGTAATAGAGCCCTTTGTATCGCGGTCGCCATGGCGACTCCAATGGGGGGCCGGGAGGGCTGCTCCCTGGCAACCATCCGGTGGTCTCCACCGCAGCTCTGCAGTGTGGATCTGCACTCCCGGCTTCAGCGCACACCAGAGTGGTTCACGGGCTTTCTGACATTATGAAAGAGGGTGGAGAGGTGAGGCGGACACCTGTGCGGTGGGCCAGGGGTCCGCCAGGACATGGGATTCCATCTTGTCTCTCCGCATTCAGAGTTGCTTGTGACTGAAGAGTGCCCGGACTGTGACAGGACCTCCCTCCCTCCCTCCTTGACCCACGTCTCTCCAGACCTTTCCCTCCAGGTCAGAAACTGGCAGCGAGTCCACACTTCTGTTCCAGCCAGTCCAGGCTGCTCTGGACCGGGGGGTGCCACTGGGGCAGACAGGGGGCTGCCGGGGATGGGGAACGGGGACAGGAGCAGAAGGCTCACATGAGACAGAGGATGTGGGGCTTGGTTTCAGCGCCCCCTGGGGAGGTCCCGTTTCTTTTCTGAGCCTCAGTCTCTCCTTCTGTGAAAGAGGTGAGTTACTACTTTCTCTGAACACCTGAGTCCTGGTGAGGATAGACTGCTAGCTGCGAGAACGCTTAACATACGAGCTGTATTAGTTATCTCTTGCTGTGTAACAAATCACCCCAAGCTTAGCGGCTTAGGAACATCTATTATCTCAGTTTCTGTGGGTCAGGAACACAGATGCAGCTTCCACGGGACTCTCACAGACCGTGATCAAGATGCTGGCTGGGGCTTCAGTGTCATCTCAGAGCTCCACTAGAGAAGGACCCCTTTCCGAGGCCACCCACGCGGCAGGACTTGGTTCCTCACGGAGTATTGGGCTGAGAGCCTCCGCTCCCCCCGAGTCGTTGGCCATCCACAGCTCCTCGCCGTGTGGGCCCCTCCAGAGGGCAGCTCACTAGAGGAAGTTGCTTTCATCAGAGCGAGGGAGCCAGGAAGAGCCAGAGAGAGTGGGAACAAGACAGTCGCAGGCTTTGATAACCTCATCTTGGAGTGACATCCCATCCCACTGGCCATATTCCATTGGTTAGAAGTCAGTAGGTCCAGCCCACAGTCAAGGGGCGGATTCCCCAAGCGTGTGAAAACTAAGGAATGGGATCATTGGGAGCCATGGCAACCGCCCCCCTCAGTCCACCCTCTAGCCCCCCATGATGTCCGTCCCTTCCACAGGCAAAGTACATTCACCTCCTCCCCAGATCTCCAAAAGTCTCATCCCATGACAGCATCAGCTTGAAATCTAGAACCTGGTCCCGTAAGTCAGGCCCAGGTGTGGACGAGTCTCCTTGGGCGTCGTTTCTTGAGTTCAGTCCTCCATCAGCAGATCTGTGGGACTAAGCCAGCTGCCCTGAACACACTCAACATTCAACGGTGCGGCAGACATGGGATAAGAGCTGTAGACGTTTCTATTCAAAACTGAGGAAAGTGGAGACAGGCAGGAGTCACCGGCCCATAGCAATTCTGAATTCCAGCCAGGCAAATGTTGGACTTTGCTTGATTTGGTTTCAAGGCCTGGAAATAATTCTCCGTGGCTCTCAGCTCTGACTAATGGCCCCGTGCTTCCACTCTCTAAGTTATTTTATTTTAAATAGAAGGGAGCATGGGCTTGCATCTGAATAGTTTTCTCAGATCGCTTTCTGCCAGCAGAATTTGGGCATCCACTGGCACCCCCAAACATTGTACAGTCTCTGTCCCTTTCACTCCAAGCTGGTAGTACTTTTGCTGGTAGAGTTTTTTCAAAAACTGTGAAACTTATAGGGGTTCACTCCACAGACACTGGGGCTCCTGCTGAGCGACAGCATCCTTCCTGGAAGCTTCCTAGAAACCCCGTCATTCCATGAAGAGCATCGGTGGGCGTATCCTTAGCTCTTTCAAGGGCCCTTTGTGTGACTGAATAATACTCGGATCCTTTCGTCTTTCTAAGGTTTTAACAAAAGCTTGCACAGTCATGCCCTCAGCTGCATTTTCCTGACCGCCCTGAAGCCATTTCTTAATTTTAGCATCTTTTGGCATCTGCAGAGGATGAGAATTTCCAAAACCATTGAGTCCTGTCTCCTTTTTGCTTAATAGTCCTTCCTGCAATTTCCCTCTCTCCTCTCACATTTCACTACAAACAGCAAGAAGCGCCCAGGGCCACCTGCAATGCTTTCCTTGGGGACCGCCTTCACCAGACGGCCCAGTTCATCAGTCACATGCTCTGCCGTCCACGTACCACAGACGACAGTGTCTCTGAGTTGCTGTCACTAAGTGACAAGGACGTTTCTTCCTCCGGGTTCTAATAACATGTTCCTCACTTCCTTCTGTGCCTTCTCTGGCAGCATCCTCCAAATCCAGATTTCTATTGATTGTCTGTTTAAGGCAGTTCAGGCTTTTTTATCATGTTCTTTGAAATCCTTCCAGGCTCCACTACTACTTGATTCCAAAGCCACTCCCTCATTTTTAGGTATTTGTTACAGTAGCATCCCTCTCTTAGTACCAAAATAGATATTAGTTATCTATTGCTGCTAACAAATTACCACAAGGCTTAGCAGCTACAAGCTATGTTCTTAAAAAAAGAACAAACTTATTATCTCATATTTTTATGGGTCAGGATCCCGGGTGTGGCTAGGCTGGGTCCTCCAGCTCAGGGTCTCCCACAGGCTGTAATTAAGGTGTCAACTGGGCTGTGTCCCCATATCAAGGCTCAACCGGGGAAGGAACATTCATTCATTCAGTTCTTTGAGGACCATTGAACTAAGGGTCTCTGTTCCTTATGAGCTGCTGTCCGGAGGCCACCCTCAGTCACTGGCCACATAAGCCTGTTCTTCGGACAGCTCGAAACGTGGCAGTTGCTGCTGTCAGAGTGTTGAATTAATCGGATGTTTTGCTTGGCAATTTTTCAAGAGAATAAAATTGCTCTGGTTCTTAACCTGCTTTGAGCTTACCAGAAGACCAAATTGCTGGGTGACCTTAGACAAGTCACTCTCCCTCTCTGAGCCTCAGTTTCTTTATCTGTAAAATGAGGGCTTGGATTAGCTAACCTCAAAGATCCCTTCCAGCTTCAACTTGCTGCTCCTGTGCGTCCTTATTACAAAGACGCTGGCAACTCAGGTCAAGGTACTAATTATCCACGATATGATAAATTGTTTTATCTTAATTCATATTATAAAATTCACAAAAACCTTAAAAAATGTGATAAAACCAGAGAATATGAGTAAGAAAAAGACCACCTAGGAAAAAGGATCACAAACCTGAAAGCTGCAGAGGCTTTTGAAGATGCCAGAGCTGCCCCCCAAAATTTGGCCCAACGGCCTGTCTTCAGAGGAAAGACCGATGTGACACCAGCATGGCTTCCTGCTCCCGGTTCTCCTGTGTTGGCCAAGCTGGTTCCCTTCCCTTGAGCTTGACTGACCAGCTAGTAAATGGACAAAATCCTATTTGCAGGGAGGCAAAGAGTCACCAGAATGGGGGGCTTGGGGCAAGGCACCCCATAACCAGGGGCCTGCTGGGGGCTCCTAGGGGAGTGTTGGGAGGTGCAGATGGGGGAGAAGACGGAAAAAATGATTACTGAGGAGGAAAGGGAGCCCAGGGCCCCCAGGCTGTTTGAGAAGGGCCTTTGAGGCGCTGGTGGTGGGAGTTGCCAGGGCTTTCCAGAGACGCAGAGGCTGCAGGGGCTCAGGAGGCGGGCCCAGGGCCAGAGGTGATGGGTGGATGGGCACAGGGCTCCTTGGGGGTGGACAGTGCCGGAGAGGACGGAAGCAGCATGGGGCCCTCGGGTCAGGGCTGGGCAGACTCCCTCAGGGCTCCGTGTCCGGCTCTCAGCTCATCCTCTTTCACAGAGACTGTGTCATCGGAGACGTCGGAGTGTGTTTCTTTGTCTACAGGGCTGAGCTTGGAATTGCCTGTCCCAGAGCAAGCATCAATGGAGCTGGGCCCACGAACAGGTAGGGCGGGCTGACCAGGGCTGACCAGGGCTGACCGGGAACACACTGAATGCACGTCAGGGCTTCTGGGGGGCCCTCTGGGGCAGCAGGGACCGGCCCCTCCCCCCTCCCTCTGTCTTGCTTTGGCTTCTAGACCCGCAGTGGGGCCCTGCCCTGGCTTCCTCGGGGCATGCTGTTTGTAGATGGAAGAAAAAGGGAGGGACAGGAATGTGGCTAAGCCCCTCCCATCTGCCAGGCCCGAGGATGATGACCCTGCTACAGCGCCCTCCTCAGGGGCTCAGAGGGCAAACAGCCGCCCCTTGAGGGCACCGAAGGGGCAGCGGCTAACGTGCATGTGCAGTCGGAAAGGAGGGCTAGGTCTGCATCTACTGCCAGAAGTAGAGACCCAAGACACAGGGTTGACTTTTCTAACAGCAAGTTACAAAGCAATACACAGGATCCGACCTCACTTATAAACAGAAGTGGAACAAAACTATGTGCCCAGCAAGAGGGCTAGAGGACCCGTCTAGAAGGCTTCGCAGGGAAGCTCACCAAACACGCTCACAGCTGTAACCTGGGGTTGAGGATGTGGGGGGCGCGCTGTGTGGGGGACTGTCTTCTGTGTTTTGCACAGTAAGGAAGAATCTGTATACTGCTGGTGCCTTTTGAGTGGCTTCCAGTTGGCCGTAAGATGCTCGTTTGTGTGTCACTAAGAAAGAGAAAACCCTGCTGGTTAGACAGGGCCGTTGACTGTCAGATGCAGGCTGATGTCAGAGGTGCTGACGCGAGAAGGAAGGACACTTAGAATGCAGGAATGCAGGGTCTCTCTGGGTCTGAGCTCCTGCAGCCACCTCCTCATCCACTCGCTCACTGACGGACTCACCCACGTCTCGGATGCACAGGGCTCTCTAGCGGGTGCTGTGGGAGGTCCAGGACTGTCTGACTCGTGGACCCCTCTCAATGATCCCCCCATCTAGGAGGGGAAATGAGATGGTTTGTAGCTCACAACGATGGAGAAAGGGAAAACCCAGGGTGGTGAGCGATGCGTGGAGCGTGTTGGGAACAGAGTTGTGGAGCTGAGAGGAGGGAGCGTAGAATTTTGACGTAGGGAAAAGGAGGGGCTGACCTTCCAGGTAGCAGGACCAGCCTGGGCAGACGCTGAGAGGGGGGACGCTCAAGACGTGGGTGGAGAAGAAGCCGCAATCTGGCTGGAGCCAGGGATGGGGGAAGAGAATGAGGAAGGGACATCGCAAGTTGGGAGAGAGAAGCCCCCTGGGCCTGAGAGTCAGGAGCGGGAATGCAGGGAGGAGGAGGGGAGGGGAGAGGTGGGAGTGTGAGAGCCCAGAAGCGGTTGGAGTGACACCACCCACTAGCCAGGAGGATAGAGGAGGGAAGTGGGCGTTGGGGAGCAGCTCCGAATGGGGAGCAAAGACCAGAGCCCAAATCCAGCTCTGGTCCTTTCCAGCCATTCGACTTGGCCAAGCCCAGGAATGCCCTCTGCCAGCTTCCGTGGCTGCTGGTTTTCCTCACTGGATTGCTGGGGGGTTCAAGGAGGGGAAAGGAACAAACCAAATGGAGCCAGGGACACTAACGCACAGAGAGGTCCAATCCCTTACTCACGGTCACACAGATAGGCCTCCGGGCTGGACAGGCTTGGGCTACAGATCCCATCGACAGAAGCAGTGTGGGATGACCGTGTCCCCTCAGACGCTTCTCCCTTTGTCTCACGATTTCTTGCGCATGCTTCTGGGTCCCATGACCTCACTCTGTCCCCATCCCCTTTTCTGCTCTGAATCTCTGGGGCTCTGTGTCCGTCCGCCCCCCTCCTCACCCGCATTGCTGTCTCCCTTCCTGCCCTCCACTGTCTGCACTTGTCTGCCTCCTTCCCTCCCTCCCTCTCCCTGTTCAGGTACAACCACTTTGACCAGGGCCCGTGTGAACAACAAGGAAGGCCGGCAGGACACGGACTCCTGGAGAACAGTCCGCAGCCCCCCGGACACCTCCAAATTCAAGTTCCAGGCCCCAGTGTGCCCGCAGACGTCCCTGCACCGGGGAGGCAGCCCCCTAGGGCGGGCCCACCTGGAGGAGGTCCGGCCTCCACCCCCTACGGCTATCAGCCGGGACTCCCCCGGCATGGACCCACAGCCTGGGTCCCTGAAGAAGGGGGAATACAGACCGTCCTCGAGGGAGAGCAGGGCTTCCTTCCGAGAGGGGCCTCAGCCGTGCCAGAGGCTGGAGGAAGGCCCCGACGTGGGGGCCCAGGGCCCGAGGAGCCTGAGCCAGAGGAGCAGCATCATTCCTGACAACATTCGCCACAAGTTTGGGAGCAGCATGGTGGACCAGCTGGTCTCTGAGGAGCAGGTGTCAGGGCGGGGCCCGGGAGGCAAAGGGCGGCGGGAAGGTGAGGCCTGGAGACCTGTAGTGAGGACCCCCAGGCCCCTCCTCTTGAGCACAGGGTCCCTGTAATGATATCCTTAGAAAGTGGAGTTGACTGAACACCTGCCGTGTGCCAGGCGCTGCGCACTGTCTACGGTCTTCACACACAGCAGCTCATTTACTCTCGCCAAGGAGGGGGCACTGTTATTACCTTCATCTTACGCTAAGGGGCCCAAGGCTCACAGGGGCTCAGTAAGTTCCCCAAACTCACTTGGCTGTGTGGGATGAAGACCCAAACAGGGTCAGCGGATTCTGGAGCCCTGGCCCTTCATGACTTTGCAGTTATAAGTCTTGCGTTTGAATTAGATGCTTTTAACTCGAATAAGCCTTAAAAGAGAAAGCAGCATTGAGTGGATGGACTGCATGGTTTAGGAATCAGAAGACCTGGGTTTTCATCCTCGCTCTGTGCCTGAATGTTGAGTGACTTTGGTTAAGTTACTGCCCTTCTCTGGGCTTTAGTCTCTACATCTGTAAGGTGAGGCAGCTGCACTGGATCAGGCTGGCAAACACGTGACATGCATACCATAACTTGCCGAGCCTGCATTCATGGCAGACATCACTAATCGATGTCAGCACTTTTGCCCACTGGATACTGTCACTACTGGTTAACTGAAAGTTGAGACAAAACTTATCTTCCATTCTAGTCACAGGCTAAGGGTCCTCCCTCAGAATGTCTCTGGCAATCTGAGGCATATTTTCAAAGCCCCCATCTCAACCCTCATAGCAACTATATTGTGCAGCAGGCCAGGCAGGAGTTATTGCTTCCTTTTTAACAGATGGTAAAACTGAGGCTCAGAGAGCTGATGCGATCTGCTCAGGGTCACTCTGAGCAAGAGGAGGATCCAGGGTCAGAAAGGCTGTGGGCCAGGGCCCCTCCCACTTGGTCATCTTAAGGTGCAGTGACCTCAGCCACCTGCTAGTCTGCCCCACTTGGAGGATCATGTCCCGATTTGAGGTTGGCTGCACGTCCCTGTCTCTCACTGCCCCCTTGGCCTTAGGAAGGTGCTGGTTCTCTCTTTGGTCATCACTGTCCTGGGCTTGGATCAAAGGATCTGGTTTTCTGTCCAGCTGTGCTATAGATCGCAAGTGTATCAAGCCAGCAGATATCAGAGCCGGAAGCTACTTCAAAGATCATCCAGGTTCCGCCCCCTCCTCTATTTTACAGGCAGGGAAACTCAGGCCCAAAGAGATCCAGAGGCTTGCCCAAAGTCAGTAGCTGATATATGGCAGAATTGGGACTCAAACCCAGGTTTCCTGGCTCCTAGGCCTGGGCTCAACCACTCTGGGCCTCAGTTTCCCCATTGGTACAAGGAAGGAGTTGGCCCCGATGAAATGCAAGGAGCCACTAGAGCTGACATGTGTGGGGCTTCGATTCCAGAAGGCCTCCTGGGGCTCTGGGGCTCTGGGGCTCACCAGCCGTGTGATGGGGAGTCCTTGCCCTGAGGCCCAGCTCCCCATTTATAAAATGGCAGGAACAGCATCACCTCGTAAAGAGCTCTCCTGATGAGGGGCACGGAGGGTGCTCAATGCAGGGAGGATGCCCATGTGGGAGGCAGGGTGGGGTGAGGGCATGAGGGGCCTTCAGCTCTTCCATTCTCCAGCCTCGGGGGCTGGTTGAAGGCTAAGGGTGGGGTACGGGGTGGTGAAGCGGAGCAGAGCGGGGAGTCAGAGGGGAGACATCGGCTTGGCGCCGCTTCGCTACCCCTGTCTCTTCTCCCTCCCTCCCGCCTCAGGCTCGAAGGGCCATTGGCGAAGCCTTTGACGGCCAGAAGAGGGCAAGCTCGTGGCCCAGCAGGACCCAGAGTCCCACGCAAGTGTCCTCCATCTTCTCAGACTACTACGACCTGGGCTACAACATGAGGTCAAACTTGTTTCAAGGTCAGGCCAGAGGGCAAGGGTGGGGGCTGTGAACACCCATGGTCCCCAAGGCATCGGGCGGGGAAGGCCCTTTATGTGTCCACCCCTTCCTGGACCCCAGATGGGATCTGAAACCCCAAGACACATCCCCAGAGATGCTCATTTCACAGCCACCAAGGTCTATCTCTATGCCAGGCCCGGTACAGAGTGCTGGGAATGTCCAGCCCCATGGAGAGTCTGTCCCCACCATGCAGACCATGCATCCTATTACCAGTCAGCCTGTCATTCCCCCAAATCATTCCCCCAAACAGCTCGGGTGTCCTAATCTGCCAAGAGGAGGCCCGGGCACCTCTGGCCTGGGCACTAGTTATAGTGACAGTATCCGGATTTCTGGGTTCAAAGATCAGCTCACCTACTCACTGGATGTGGCCTCAGGCAGGATCCTTAACCTCTGAGCCTCAGCTGCCCTCCTGACAATGGGGATAACAATGATATGGCCCTCATCGGGTCATCAGCAGGGCTCTATGAAGGGCTGAATGGAGGCACCTGGCCTGTGGCTCCCAGCGAGCACTCAGGGGCTGGCAGGCCATTATCTCTCTGTCCCAGAGCCTGGTGGTGGCAGCACCTGGGGAAAGGGTGGGCTGGAGACTGACATCTACGGTGCGTCCTGTGGGTCAGCCGGCGTCCTGTTTGCCCGGGACCTTCAGCAGGAGGAGGTGGGTCTGAAGCTCAGATCAAGGCTTTTCTTCTGACTCCAGAGTCTTTCCCCAGCCCCAAGTCACTTCCTTAGCTGCGACCCTTCCCCGAGGGTTTAACGGATTGGTCGGATGGGGGTCCACGGCCGGCATTCGGGGGCTTCTCTCTGCCCTCACATTCTAGCTGGGCCCCACGGCAAATGGGCAAGTCTGTCTGGCCCCCTTCCTTCCTCCCACCTCATTTCAGGCCTTCTCCAGAGTCCCTGGGGCCTGGCAAACCTCCTCACCTGGCTCAGAGCCCCGTCACCCAAGGAACCAGCCAGTCACTGGAACTTTCTGGGCTTTTCTTTGAGCTTGGGGAAGGGGAGGGGCTGGAGGGGGGAAGAGAGAATACAGCTCAGATTGTCCTCTGTCCTGGGACTCAGGAATCGGCCTTCCACTTGTCTCTTTTACAGTTACCACCAAATAGTTCTTATATACAACCTTATACGGTAATGTCTGCACAAATGCAGAAGAATAGCATAAGAAATGTCTGCGCACGCCCTGCTCATCATCCAGCCTGAGAATCGCAACTGTGCCAAGGGCATGCTGGAACCAGCTCTTACCAGCTTCCACCAGCTCACAAGAGTTGGTTGTTGAATTTTTTCTGGAACTGCTTGGCATCACAGTGCTATCCTACAATTGGCCACCGTAACACACGCGCTCCAGAAATTGGCAAGCATCACCAATTAGAGCGTTACCTTTAGCACAGAACCATCAGCGTGGCTCACCTGCATCCCTCCAGCTCCCACCACCCAGGGTGGCCTTTGTGCTTGCTGCTCTGGGGTGGTGAGGCTCCTGTGGTTGAAAAGGAAATCAGAGAGGATGCGGGCCAGATGGGGGAGGCCACTGGAAGGTGAGAGGGGAAGCCAAGGTGTGTCTTAAGCAGGAGAATGGCATTGTTGGATTCAGGGAAAAGGATCACGCCAGTTATCGTGTTGAGAACAGACGTAGGGGAGCTGGGGCAGAAACAGGGAGACCAGTGAGGAGGCGACCGCAAAAATCCAGGTGCAAGAGATGATGGTGGCTTGGTCTAGGGAGCAGAGCTGTACACTGCACAACTCTGGAGGGCGCCATTGCGCAATGTAGAGGCCCAGGGAGGTAATGCCTGATGCTGTCGGATTCTGGGTATCTGGGTAAGGTAGAGCGGACAGGATAGGCTAGTGCATGGATTGGGGTGTGTGAGGAGGAATTAAGGTTGATGCCGAGGTTGTTGACCTGAACTGTTGGAAGGATGGAATGGCCATTTCCTGAGATAGAGAACGTTCCAGGAGGAGCGGGTTGAAGAAATCCTATGCCATGCTGAGTCATAAAGATAATCTTTTACATAGTCTTCTAAAATATTTAGTTCTGCTTTTCACATTTCTGTCTGTAATCCACCTGGAGTTGATTTCTCTTTTTAGTGTGAAGCAGAGATTTACTTTAATTCTTCCTCTATGTGGATTAGCCATTGTCTCAGCACCTTTCTTTTTTTTTTTTTCTCCCCAAATCCCCCCAGCACCTATTTGTGAATTTTTAGCTGTAGGTCCTTCTAGTTGTGGTATCTCAGCACCTTTTGCTGAACAGTCCCCTCCTGCCCCCCAGGGACCTGCAGGGGTACCTCTGTCTATGCATCGAGTTTCCACGTGTGGGCGGCTCAGTTTCCAGGCTCTCTGTTCCGTCCCCCGGTCTAATACCACACTTTTAATTCCAAGGTACTATAAGTCGTCTGATACTGGTTGGGGGATCTCCCTGCAACGCCCTCCCCTGCCTCCCCCAGCTCCCATCGTGGCTATTCTGGATCCTTTACTCTTGCCTATAAACCCTAGAATCAACTCGTCAGTTTCCATGAAAAACCCTGTTGGGATTACGATCGAAATACATGGAATCTACAGCTCAATTTAGCGGCGCTTGTCAGTTTTATGACAATCAATTTTCCAAACCACGAATATGGTGTGCAGATCCATTCACTTAAATCTTCCTTTAATACCTGTCAATAATATTTTGTAAATTTTACTATAAAGATTATGTAGCTTTTGTTAGATTTATTTAAGAGAATTTACTTTCTGCTTCTGGCAAATGGTATCTTTTCAAAAATTACATTTTCTAACTTTGTTGCTTACATATGCAGGGGCAACTTTGACTTTTCTACATAAATCTTGTATAAAACAAACAAAAAACTTCCTAGCCAATTTTCTAAATCTGACCATTTCACACCTGAATGGGGGGAACTTTGACAGACTTTTAGAAGCCTGTCTTGAATTTCCATCCGGAGGTGTCTGCCCCACAGCTCACTTGCATGTCTGATCTGGAAGCCTTACTCAGCTCACCTGTTCATCCCAATCATTCGTCTGTAGAGTCTTCAGTGCTTCTCTTTAATGATGGCGATGGCTACACTGATGCAGAGTATGTCACATGTACCAGGCGCTACTCTAAGTATTTTGTATACATTTTACTTTTCTCGAGAACCTTATGCAGCAAGTGCTATAATTTGCAGGGGGTTTTTTTTTTGTTTTTGTTTTTGATAGAAAAATTGAGGCACAGAAAGGTTAAATAACTTGATTAAAGCCACACAGCCAGGACTGGTCACAGTTGGGATTTGAACTCTGGCAGCCTGGGGCCATAGTTCACATTATTAACCACTAGGATCTTCCCACCTTTATACCATCTGTCCGGGCTGACTTGTCCAGGACGACGGCGCATAGAAGCAGGGAAAGTAGGTCTCTTTATCTCATTCTTGATTCTAAAATTTCACCATTAAATATATTATATTAAAAAGGATTTTGAGGACATCTTTTAGTAGATTAAGGAGAGATCCCTTTAATTCAGTTTGCATGTTAATTTCTAAAAAATTATGAATGGCTGTCGAGTGTCATTAAGTATTTATACAGCAGTTATTCACATGATCATGTGACTTTTTCCTTTGCTCTGTCGACGGCAAATTATATTAACTGATTTTCTAATATTAAACGAGGCTTGTATTCCTGCACTTAAACCAGTGCAGATGCAGATCTTTCTAAACTGTGAAAACTACCATTGACATCGAGGAGTGTCGAGAACATACAAGTGCAATTTAAAGAATAATAAGTAATAAGCAGCCGTGTGCCACCTCCCCAGTTAAGGGGGGGCCGTCCAGGAAGCTGGGGAGCCCCTCCCGTACTTCTCCCAGCTGCATCACCTGACTTTTGGCTTTTGCTAATATCTCTTTGGTTTTTTTTATAGCATTAGCCCCAAGCATGAACCCCTCAGCAGTGTTAAACAGACCGGTTGGGACAGACTTGGACAGGTGATCTTTGAGTAAAGACCTGAAGGAAGGGAGCAGGTCAGCCCAGCAGAGGCGGCAACGCCGAGGACACTGGTTCTTCCCGGCCTTTTTACTGGGAGCCTTTGTAGGATTGTGTACAGGGGGGTGACTTGTTCCAAAGCATCCATCTGGCTGTTGTGTTGAGACTGGATGGAACAGAGTGGGGAAAAGCAGAAGCAGGAGAGCAGTGAGGAAGATCAGATCGGGGGTAGAATTTAAAAGGACTCCAGGCCAGTCGTCTCCCCACCAGCCCACACCTGGTCCACAGAAACAGTAGAGCTGTTTCTGCATCTGCGGGGTAGGCACCTGTGGGAGTATGGCATGCTCTCTGCCCTGCCATCTCAGGCCAACGCCTTCTGTTCCAACCTTTGGTGTCCCCCAAACTCCCAGGCTTTATATCAACCTCCCCAGGGGACCCCACTGAAGCCCTTTTAATTAGATTTAACGTGAGAGGGGCACTGCTTTCACTTTAGGGAGGGGTGACTCAGCACAAAACAAGCCAAAGAAATTCTCTTGAAACTTCCCAGGCGGGGACCAGCCTGGTAGCATAGTGGTTAAGTTCGCACATTCCACTTCAGCAGCCTGGGGTTCGCCAGTTCAGATCCCGGGTGCGGACCTACACATTGCTTGTCAGGCCATGCTGTGGTAGGCGTCCCACATACAAAGTAGAGGAAGTTGGGCAGGGATGTTAGCTAAGGGCCAGTCTTCCTCAGCAAAAAGAGGAGGATTGGTGGCAGATGTTAGCTCAGGGCTAATCTTCCTCAAAACAAAAACAAAAACAAACAAAAAACTTCCTAGCCAGTTTTCTAAATCTGACCATTTTATACCTGAATGCGGGGAACTTCAACAGGCTTTTAGAAGCCTATCTTGAATGTCCATCCAGAGGAGTCTGCCCCACAGCTCACTTGCATACCTGATCTCCATCACACTTAGGGCTTCAGTTCAGATTTCTAACTTAACATTCTGTTATGTGAGTATTTAAAGCATAAATAACAAACAATAAAAATTGCTTTTAAAAAGTGGATTTCTAGCTTGATGGCCTTGTCATTAGAGAACACAGCCTGTGATGAATTCGGTCCTCTGAAATTGCGGAGATTTGCCATATAGCCCAGCAGATCATGAATTTTTGTAGATGATCAATACGCTCTTGAAAATAATCTCTCGGGTTCAGAGTTCTGTGTTTGTCTAATAGACCAGGCTTGTTAATTATTTCTATACAAACCTTCTAATTCTTTGTTAATATTCTCCACTCGATCTATTATTAAAAGATGGGTCTCTAAGTCTTTCCCCAGGATAGCAGATTTGTCGATTTCTCCTTGCAGCTCTGTCAATCTTGCTTTACTTGTTTCACGATTACTCCAATGCAGCAAGTTCAGAATTCTTGCATGACCTGAATGAACGGCCGTCGTTTCTTTTTCTCACAGTGCCTCTGCCTTACAGTCAATTTTGCCTAATGTCAATATGCTGGGACCAAATTGCTTTTTGGTTAGTATGTATCTTTTTCTGTACTTTCATGTTCATCCTCTCTCTGTGTGTCCTTTTTCTTTTTTTTAAAGTATGCTTTAAATATTACATCTCTGGAAAATATTTTCCATTGTCTGATCACTTGTTTTTTAATCAATGGATTTAGTCCATTTATATTTATTTTAATTGCTAATATATTTAGATTGATTCTTAGGACCTTATTTTGTGTTTTCTGTTTGTGCTGCTTTTTCCTCCTTTTTTTCTTCTTTTGGATTTGAGTGAGCTTTCTTTTCTCCCCCAATTCAATTTTTGTCCTTACTCTTCCTATTTTTTGAGTGGTTACTTTTGACACGTTTACACGTGTAGTTAACACATTCTACAGTCCATCAAGAGATTTCAGCTTCCCTGAACAGTATGAGGACATTAGAAAGCCTCAACTTTATTCTCCCCACCCCCATCTTGGCTTACGTGTGACTATTTTACAGAATTTTAATTCTACATGTGCAAAGTAGTTTCAGCTGTGGATTCTGGAGGCACACAATGTGGGTTTGAGTCCTAGACCTTTTACTTAGCAGCTGTGTGACTTTAAACAAATGACTTAACCTTTCTGTGCTTCAGTGACTTCAACAGTAAGATGGAGATAATAGTTAAACATGCTTCTTAGGGTTGTTGAGAAGATGCACTAAGTTCTGTAAAGCTATGAGAACTGTGCTGAGCACACAGTAAGTCTTCAAAAATGGTTAGCTATCATTGTCATCATTATTGTGCCCCAAGAATGAGGCTGTTATTATAACTGATGTATATTTAGATTCCTTCAAGGTTCTATTTTCTTTGCCTACCATTCCTTCTTGTATCTCAGATCTTCCTTCCGGGATCATTGTTTTCTTTCTGAAGTATGTTGTTTAGAAGTTTTTTTGGTGAGATTTATTTATTGGTAAATTTTAGGCTCAGAAAAGTCTTTATTTCACCCTTATTCTCGGAAACAGTTATTGTAAACAGTTCTAGATTGATGATTGTTTCCTGTCAGCATTTGGATGTTATTAATTCATGTCCTTCTGGCTCTGATAACTCATCATTATTCTTTGTAAGTAATCTGTCTTTTCTCTATGGCTGCTTCTAAGATTTCTTTGTCTCTGCTGTTCTAAATTTTACTTGGATGTACCTACATAAGGAATTCTTTTGGCTTATGCTGAGTGGGGAATTATGATTCTTGAATCTAAGGATTCATATATTTCATCGATTCTAGAAAGATTTCACCCATTATCTTTTCAAATATTGCCTCACCCCATCTTCTCCCGTCTCTCCTTCAGAACTCGAAGTAGACATAGGTTAGGCCTACTTACTGAACCTTCATTTTAACAACGTTTTCATATTTTCCCCCTCTGTGCTGCATTCTAGTCAATTTCTTTAGCTAGATTTTCCAGTTCACAATTTTTTTCGCAGCTGAATCTAATCTGCTATTTCACCTGTCCATCGAATTTGGACATTGTTTTTAAATGTTACGATGTCAATTTTCAAACTTAAAAGGAAAGCAGCCTAGTTTAACAAATAGATATTGTACTCATCACCCAGCTGCAACAGTTATTAATACACGGCCAAGCTTGTTTCATCTTTTCTCCCACCCACCAGTCCACGCTTGCCCCAGATTACTTTGAAGCAAATCCCAGGCTTCTTATCCATTGAACTTACCTTTCATTTATTATGTTTCATTTCTGATATTCCACTTGCTTCTTTTACTAATCTGTGTGTTCTTTTTCGGTAGTGTCTTATTCTTTGCTTACACCTTTTCTCTGTCTTTCATGACTTCAAACATTACATCTACTTATTTTATATTCTGCAATTCATCATTCAAATCCTTGCTGTCTTTTGAGATTTGGTCCTCTGATGTTTCTGCTGACTCTTGAACATGGCAAGCTATTTCCTTGTATGTGTGTATGTTTAACTTTACACACAGAGGTAAGTTTTCTGAAAATACAGGTATTCGTTGCCACATGCCAGGTGCCCCAATGAATGTCCAATAATGTGACCTTGCCAATCTTGTAAGAAAATTTATTCCTTTGAATAGCTGAAGAGACCAAAGCTCTGAGAGGTTAAAACCTTGTCTGAGGCCACGCTGTCCGTAGTGAGGGGCTGGGGTTGGAGCCAGGTCTGCCTTCTGCTGCCTTGCCCTCCCGACTCCCTGCCCTCTCACCATCCACCATCCCTAGAGGAAACTGGCCGCCAGGCGCGCACCCTAGAGTGCCTGACCTCCGTTGACTTGGGGCATCTGGGGATTTCTTCATGGGGTCCCACAGGGGCCCCCCAGGAGACGAAGAGTCTCATGAAGGCCTCCTACACCCCAGAGGTGATCGAGAAGTCGGTGAGGGACTTAGAGCACTGGCACGGCAGGAAGACAGACGACCTGGGTAGGTGGGGTTCTGGGGGCATGGGAGGCGGGGGCTCCCCTCCCTGGGCAGGGTGTGCCGGCCCCGAGGTCCAGAGACAAACCAGAGCAGCAGAGGGGGCCCCTGGGGTGGGTCACTGCTGGAGCCTGGGCACACCAGAGATCCTGTGTGTGATCTGTGCTGACCCCTTTCCTGCTCCCTGCAGGACGGTGGCATCAGAAAAACGCTATGAACATGAACTTGCAGAAAGCGCTGGATGAGAAATACGGAGAGAAGAACAAAACCAAGAGCTCGAAGCTCTAGATCCGCCCTCCACTCAGGAGAGCGCTGACAATAAAGAAAGGCGCACGTCTGAGTCTCTCCTCCCTGCTTGGGGCTCTCCTCGTGTCCGCTGGGGCCACGGGCTCTGCTGCAGAGACCAACTGAGCTAGGACTGGAGCGCCGAGGGCCCAAACTCTCCCCCAGACCTTCCTCCAGACACCCCTTCCCACCCCCCATACACCCACACACCTGCACACTCCGCCCACACACCTGCGCACACCCACACCTCCCCCATCCCGCATACACACATCCATGCACCCCACACCTTCCCCCATAATTCCAGGAAAGGGTGTGAGGGCTGAGCAAGACTCTGTCTCAAGCCCCGTGTGCCTGGCTTCTCCCTCCCGCCCTGCGTGGAGAAGTCCCATAGTGACACCGCTCGATCTTACCATGCACGTCCTCCCGATCAGAACTCCAATTATTTCCGGACACCCATTTCCTTCTACCGCGAGCTCAGGAACCTCTAAGAAATCGGCCCCCTCACCCCGTCCCCAGTCCGGGAATAGCGTGATTGGTCTCACGTAATTCTAATCCTTCCCCACCCCCACCCCCCCACCACGCAAAGTGATTGGCTCAGAAATGGGCACGTGACTCAATTTGGGCCAATGAGATGCATGGAGAGGTGTGCGTGGAGCCTCCTGGGAAATTCTTTTCTCTCCTGGGAGAGCATCCCCGTCTCCTGTTGTGTTGAATGAGGAAGCACGCAGCCCAGACTGCTCCTGGCAGACTCTATGACCAGAGGAGCTGCCGACGCTGTGGCACAATTTGGGTCTTCTGTGACCTCACTGAGCTGCTCCATCCACCAGGCCAGAAGCCACCTACCTCTGGTCGTCTGATAATGCCTGCCTGGACACCTCTTCATTGTTTAGGCAGCCAAACTCATCCTTAGCCGATAAGGGTCCCTGGTAGCAACAGCGGAGGGACCTGGGAATTGGGGCCCTAGAAAGGAAACCCCCAGAGAAGGGGTTCTAGGTTAGACAGTCACGTCTACCAGCTGCTCCTGAACTGACTGCCTGATGGCTCTCCAAGCCAGTGCACACCGCCCCCTCCGCGCCCCCCCGCCCCCGAGATCACGGACTTGCACTCTTAGTTGTGCTCTCGCGTTATTATTTTTGCCATCTTTCAAACCACCCCCAAACCTAGTGGCTTCAAACGACGACAACCATTTATTAGCTTATGATTGTGCAATTTGCGCAGGGCTCAGCCTGGCTCATTTCTGCTCCCTGTGGCATCTGCTGTGAAGATGGCTGCTTCTCTCAAGTGCCCAGCGTCTCGGCCGGGATGAGTTCCACAGCTGGGGGCTGGCTGGGCATCACTCTCTCTCCGTGGGGCCTCTCCTCCTGGCTAGCTTGGGCTTCTTCCAGCCATGGCCACTGGGTTCCAAGACTCCATGTGTAAGAGCTTATCACACCTGGCACTGGCTTGTTGATGTCCCCGTAGTCAAAAGGACGTGGTCAAACCCAGAAGTGTAGTGGGAGGAGACTGCAGAGAGACTCTTATGGGCAGGAGCGGTTCACTGGGGACCCGCAACCACGGTACAACACAGCGGTCATCACGCTTTGGGAAAATCAAAAGCTCATCGCCAGGAAAAGAGGCGCTGCCCCTCCCCCACAAAAGGAAATGCCTTCTCTAACACAGGATTGGAGCAGCATGCAGTATGGGGAGGTGCATTTGGCCTGATTTAGTATTTACTGGGTACCTAACTGCAAGGTGCTGAGTTCAGCTCAGCTTCTTTATTGGTACCTAATTTGTGCAAGGCACTGCTCTCGTGCTGGAAAATCCAGACTTCATCTTTATGGAGTAGCTACCACCTGCTTATCATATGGAGCGACAGAAAAAAACGAGCCGCCCAGAGTCTTGCAGCTAAAGCAGACCCTGTACTGTCCTGACGAAGCAATTATAATACGCCAGACGCATATGATTACGTGCCAGATGCTTTGCACACACGGCCTTATTTCATCCTCATACCGGTCCTCAAAGCTGTGATTATCCTCTTTATGAAGATGAGGAAACTGAGGCTTGGAGAGGCCAAGTAAATCGCCCAAGGTTATAACAAGAGGAAGCTGGGATCGAAAGTCCAGGAATTTCTGACCAAAGCGATTTTCTCCTCGACCAGGCAATCCTGCCATCCTAGCAACAAATACACACTGAGCACACAAACACTCGGCCCTGTTAGGCACTGAGGGGGACAGTGATGCAAATCCAACACAGTCCTCGTCCCCAAGGACTTTACAGAGGACCGATGTGGAAGGGGCTGGCTTTGAGGCTTATCCATCATCCAACATGTGCTGTGCATCTGCCCTCTGCCCAGCCCTGACCAATGAACTGGGAGTTCAGAGGTGAATGAGACACGACACCTGTCCTCAAGGAGTCTGGAGTCTGGTGGGGAGACAGATGCATCAGTAAATAGATGCTCAGAAGTGTTCCCCATGCAGCGAGAAGTTATACGGGGCCAGGGGAAGCACAAAGGAGAACCTGGGATGGGGTGGGCGCTGGTGGTCACAGAAGGCCTTGTCAAGGAGGTCCCTCTTGCAATGAGTCTTGGGACGTCAGTAGATATGTTTGAGTGGACTGGAAAAGGCACAGCCTTCCAGACAGAGGGCACAGTGTGACAAAAACTCAGCATGGCATATTTGGGGAGGAGCAGGTGGCTTGTTAAGCTTGGAGGGTAGGGCTCCAAGGTGGGGCACAGAGGTCAGGTGGGAAAGGTGCCTGGATGGGGCTGCGCCCTGCGAGGGCCTGAGATGTGAGACCCAGCCCCCACCTCCAGTTACTGTCCCTCTGACTGGAACATAAAGGGCTAACAGTAACTGAAGAAGCAGCATGGAAGAGAAAAGATGATCAATATCCCCAATAATCAGAGGGATGCAAATTAAAACAATAAATTCCTCGAGTTGGCAGACATTAAAATGTAACTGTAGGGGAGGAGGAGGGAAATGGGACCACCCATCCACTCGATGAACTAGGAGCCCAGAACAGCAAGGGAGAATCAGACAAAATTGCAGTTACATCTTATAACCTGGAAATTCCATTTCTTGGCAGCCTAGAGAAACTCTGAAACAGGCAAACAGAAGCCCCGCCCAGAGATATTAGTGCAGCGCTGTTCCTAACAGGAAAACCACGGACACGTCTGTGAGCAGGCGAATGCACAAATGGAGGATCTACGGCAGGGGAAAGGATGACCCCTCTACATACACCACACGGAAAGACCTCACAGCCTATCACGGTGCGTGGAAACGACAGTCTGTAGGCCTATGATATGAAACATCCCACTCACGGAACCTCCAAAAGGCACACACGGAACCACTCCCTTGCTTGCGGATGCCATTAGAGCGTGTGTGGTGGACTGCAAGGACACTGCAGAAATTCAGCTTCACGTCATATTTAATTTAGCCCTTTTCAGACACAGCTTTGCTTTCTATCACTGCAAGAGAGAGCAGCCCAAACGCCCTCCAAGAGAACTCAGGTGCTAGAAGGAGCGGCCGAGAAACAGAACGCTGGCCAGCTGCTGTAAAGTGAAGCGAGCAGTTTCCATTTTGACGTAAGGAAACAAATGTAACAGGCTTCGTGACTTTGCCTCAGTCAAAGATCTCCTCTCAGAACATTAAGTGGAACCCTTTTTAATTAAACATTGAATACTTTGGAGCGAGAGATGCTGCAATCTAGGCAAAATAAAACACGCATAGATTTTGAAAGCTTAAGCAAGGCCTTTATCCCACTGGTGCTGTTTCCAACAGTGTTCCTTGTTCTTTGTGCTTCTGAGGTCCCTAGATGGTGGGATTTACAGTGAGTCTTAAGTTTCAAGGAGGTACAGGGACCAGGTCTTAAGCAGCATTAATTCACATAGTGAAAAAGTTATTCAGCCTTCAATTCAAGCAGGGCCTCATTTGCTCACAGTGATTCAGAACCATCTTCATAAAAAGCCGCCTTGGATGCTCTGACAGACCCAGTTGACCAGCCCCATACGGCTATTATCCTAGTCCAGCTTGCCTCCTGGTGGCAGTGTCTCTAAATTGCAGGGTGAGTACTCAGGTCTCATAAATCCAGGAAATGCGTGCTAAGGAGGGGAACTAGAGACCATTTAGACACCTTTCTAACCATGTCTTTCCTGCCCCGCACCCATAGCTCCATTTCACAGATGAGGAAACTGAGGCTCAGTTGAGCGAAGTTATGTCTTATCTGGAAGTGAGCCGTCCACACGGCCAGTTTCACAAACCCGAAGTCAGCGATGGTGCAGGGAGGCAGGAACCACAGTCTCTGCGAATGCAGAAGCTGCAGCAAATGCAGAGGAAAACCCAAATGCAGGTGTGCAGCCAAGAGGCAACGAGAGGCTCTGCAGGCCTAGGGGACTGTGCCTGGGCTCGAGTCCTCGCGAAGACCCTTTCGCTTGTCAGAGCCTGGGTCTCCTTCACGGTAGGGGACGGACACCTCTCTCAGAGTCCTTCTAAGATTAGCTGAATGCACATCCGGGACCTGGAGGAGAGCATGGCCCTCACAGGGCGTAATAAATGCTTATTTTTCCCTTCCTTCAGGCCCAGGTTTCCCAACCATGTTTCAGGGAACACTGCAACATGTTAATAGATGTGAATGGAAAAACTGTCCCATTGTCAAATGAATTGGGATTATGCTCGTTTAAATAACAGTAAATAGATTTCTTTTGTGCAAGATTTCTTGGAAAGTGAAATATGCTAAAATTCATCGTGTCACTCCAAATGTTTGCCTGGTATTTGCTGTTCCCCACTGGGCCTGACACAGACAGAGTGAGTGACTAATAGCTGTGACAATAATAATGATTTTATTAAAATTGTAGGTTCAGAAGCTTGGGAAGTCAGCTGGGAAGAGTGGCCCCGTTTCTGGGGAGTTGCTTAATAGACTGCTGTGTAAACCCGGATGCTCATGATCGAGGGTCCCGGAGAATGATGCCTGCCAGACGGCCTGGCCACCCCCTCCCTCTGGCCAACCCTGCAGGCATCCCCCCTGGGAGCAGATAAGGAATCAGAGAAGGCACGAGCCTGTCCTCAGGACCAGGGGGTGAGTCG